AAAATGAGATGTTTATCCTGTATTTGATTGTGTTTATCTGCAGTTAGTTACACGAATTCATATATGGGATGAAATCGGATAGAGATGAACGGGTTTAAGAGTTTTAAGAGTTTTTAAGAGTTTAAGAGTTTTAAGAGTTTTTAAGAGTTTTAGCCAAATGCTTTATAATATAGTATAGATAAAATATTTATCTGCAATTAGTTACACGAATTCAAAAATGAAGCTTTAATAAGTTGTACATACATACAATTTACTTGTAATCTTGAATTTTAGGTAATATGTATTAATAAACAGTACTTAATACATAAAAAAGATCTTTAAGAGTTTTTGTCAATTAATGCTTTATAATATCTATACATTTACACACACACACACACATATATATATATATAGAGAGAGAGAGAGAGGGAGGTGAGTTATTATGCAACCTTTTACATTTGTACAACCAATACAACTCAATCTCAACTGTCCATTTAATGTGACGAATATGAGATTTCATAAAAGTTTTAATTGTTTTCTAATATAAAGTATTGATCATAATTAATGAACTAAAAATAAATTATTGAGTTTTAACAGAATACTTAGTTATTATATTTATATAAAAAAATATATTATTAAACCAAAAATACACTATTTTATTATTAAATCTAAATTAAATTATAATAAATTTTTGAATTAAAGCAATTACACAGAAAAATTAGAACTTTTTAATTTTTTTTAATTTTTATGATATTTTTAAATTTATATTTTATTAAAAAAACATTAGTGTTTGCTTAAAACTACATAAAACCTTATTATAAAATCGATAGAGACCAAAAAATTATAACGAAACATTAAAATCAAGATATATTTCATAGCATTGTGTGAGTACCTTCTAATGAATATAAAAATATGTAAAAAAAATTGTAAATTAATAACCAAGGAGTAGAAATAGGCTTGGAGATCGATGATTTGGTGTGAATTTGGAGAGAATTGACGGATGATATATGAGGATTGACCTTGACCCAAGGCTATGATTCTGTCGATTTCAGTGACGATTACGCCATTAAGAAACACATAAAATTAATGATCCATGCATGGTGACTGACGATGAATGCATTCTGGAGTATAAGGCGCGACTTGGTCATGTCTGTTTTCCGTGTAGCCAACAAAACCAGCGCTTCATCTTTATCGCATTTTCTTGCTAATCCATCATTCTACCCCCTCAAATTTCATTGAATCACACTTTTGTCTCTGAAGAAGAGAATTATATTGCCTACAAAATTTTACTTTCAAAATTTTACTTTTCCAATCCATCATTCTACAAAATTTTCATCCTCTTATCTTCCAAAATCACATGTACATGAGAACTCATTATGCCAAAGGATTAAATTGTTTTTCTTCACAAACCCATGGAATCTGAGCTACTTATCTCCCTTTAACACTTGTAACAACGTAATACACAATGTGAAACAACAGAAGAAATAGATAGTTGATTTATTGAGCAATTTATGTACTTGCATTACTTGCCTTCCACTTTCGGGTTGCTGGTGCCATAAATTAGCTATGAGATCTAGTATGATTTGTAAGGATATGCAACAAAGAAACTCGAACCAAAGCTCCTAAAGATCGTAGCAAAGGCCATCTCTCCAACCATTCCCATAAAAGGGTTAAAAAACTTGGTTGTTATCATATGGCTTCCTAGGTTAAATGGTCCAAAAACAAAGCTTTCAAATGGGTGTGGGTGATTCTTAATTTGAGCTGGAGGTTATAGGCCTGGTTGGGATGGAACTGTTGATTCATATGCAAAATGGAACCACTAGGAGTCGATGGTTATGACTAGCTCTTATTGGTAGGTTCTCTTCAATTTCAGATGATTGCCATGCATGCTCGTAGGGTGAGACTAGGGATGAGTTGGAGATAGAAGCTTTACAAATGGGGCAATCCAGGTGTTTGTCGGATTAAGAAAGGAGAGTTGGACACGAAACCATTCCCAAGTTCAAGGCCAACAATAGTAACGATATGGTCCCTTGCTAAGTCCAAACAAGTGTTGAACACACAAAAATCTTGTAGACCATCGGAAGGGGAGGGGTTGTTGGTGCCAGAATCAGGGGAAGGGGTTAAAGATGGACTTGGGGTAGCTTTAATAAAATAATTTTTAATTATATGTACAAGTCTTGAAACATCCCTCCACCATCAAGTCCAAATTGAGAGACAAAATTAAATTGGTTCGATATCTTGTTGAGACAACCTAAAATTCTACTTGAAGCCCCCAATTAATTAATTTTGGAAAGGTACACGTGTTGGAAAGAAAATTAGATGATTCCAAAAAAAATATACAAGGACAAAAATTAACACATTAATTAATTGTCATATATTTACAATCATAATGTTTCAACAACATCCTATTCCAAGTGTGTAACTAACTAACTCCAATTCAAACTCAAACTCAAACTTGTATTACATGAGTCCTACGTTTTTATAAGTTTTCAGTAGACTTTTAAAGGCTCCCGCTGTTTGCTTCACGGTTGATGCTGCTTGTATGCCATTCATTTGACTCTCTACCTTCTCCGTACCTTGTATTGGTTCATATAACAAATTATCAATCATAGTTATTAACCATAAATTTAATCTTGTAGTTTGGTTTCAAAACTAACATATAATATTAATATAATTAATTGCAACAAGACAGGAAGTTGTTATATATATATATATATATATATATATATGATGATGATGATGATGATGATGATGGAATGTTTACCTTCGAATAAGGTCTCCATCATTGCCTCAATATCTTCAGGTTGATACTTGATGTACTTATCAATGCTTTTGGCCCCTTCGAACTGGGGTTTATACCTGCCAATGAATGACCTATAGGCTGGACTCACCACAGCCGTTATGGAAACCCGAATCTCTGATAACAATTGTTCGTCGTTCACCACCCACGTGCTCTGCGTCTTGTATATCTCATCAAACATCCCATTAAAATTCTTCAACTTCTCCTTCACTATCCGTCTGTTGGGTTTCCCGTTCACTTGGACGCCTTCTTGGGTGATGCATTGTAACAACTTGTTCCATGTTTCCCTCTGGTAACTCGTGTGGTAGTTTCGTACATCCGATGACTTGCGTCGACACCAATTATCTCCCATCGCTTCTTTCATCTCCTTATTCCCCTTCACTACTTGTAATATGAACCTGTTGTTGTTCATCAGAAATATGCATCGCAACGATGGGTCTTTGTACAATCCTGATTTTACCTCCAGGTTGGCGTCTAACAGCTCAATCACAGAAAATAATTGTTTCGACAATGATGACTTATCCTCCACTACTTGAGATGAAGCTTCGTGAACATGTTGTCGTAATATATGTTCCAATGTGTCTTTGTACTCGTCAAATGCACATTTTAGATAGTTCATGACGTAGCGTGTTAGCGGGTGTACTGCACCCCCCTGAACGGGAGTTTTGTTAGTGTCATTGCGGATGGAGTTGTTTAGATCGTTGAATATGATCACCACTGTCTCTCCCATGCTACCCCTAACAGATGATATTTCCGACTGGAGATTGCAATATTCTTCTAGTTTTACATGTGAGTTTGATTCATCCACCAAGGCACGTCCAATACCACCCAGTGCCTCGTATATATCCAGGAATTTGAACAACCTCTTTGCCTTTGGCTTCGTCATTGCCACGGCTGTTGCAAAATCAACAAGTAAGGCGGTGACCCCATGAATGAGGTTGATAAATAAGCCTGTGAAAACCGATATATGATTAGAAAACACAGTCTCGCCAAGCTTTCTTTCGGCAGGGAAAAGAACGTCAGAAGAATAGTTGGCTAAATTGACCCATCGTGATATATCTGGCTCAAGGGAAGCCCATTTCGATTTATGAACGTCTTCAACATTCACCTTTTCGAATCCGAACCTTTTGACTTGCTCATGCAAAGCATCTCTGCGTACCGTGCTATACACCTGGCAACATTCATATTGGTAGCCTGCATGGATCATGACGGCTACGATTTTTTGCATCAAAATCATGTTATCTTTTGAGTAACCTGGAAAATCTTGTTGGTTGTTGTCTGGTTCCAGAGATGTACAAGAGTTGGGCTTCTTGCAAATGGTTATGGGTTCGGAAGGAGCAGTATAATCTAGTAAAAGAGCCTGAAACTCGTCTTGCATTAAGGTCATGGCTTGTTGCAGGACGTCGGTGATCCGATCAAGCGATGGCGTAGTATTTGGGAACTCGCTCAAAACGATCTTCAGTTTTGATAAACGTGTAATGGCATCTGTGAAATATTGATCTTCCTGGTCTGTCACCATCTTACCACACCTCATGCCTGGTTTTGTGGAATTATATCTTTTAATCCTTAATTCGATGATCCGAACGAAGGTGTCGACGGTGTCAGGAATTTCAGGTTCGAGACACTTTTCATGGAGGGTGGAGAATTCATGAGCCAAACGGTCAATGTCAGCGGAGATATTTTGATGATAAACATCTAACAAAGATTCATCATTAGCATCAACAATATCGCCATCCAAGTTAGATTTTCGACGATTCTTATTAGCTGCAGCCTTAGTACTATAGATCTCCATTATATATTAAAAAAGAAAAGAAAAGAAAAAGAAACAAATTATGAGAGGGAAGGGAAGAAGATGAATGAATGAAAATGCAGGCAGGGGAAGGATGGAGCTAATTAGGGAATTCATTTTGTAGGGGTGAAAATTTGTTTTAGTCCGATCAAGGAGGAGGAGGTGTCCTTGCGCTTATGCAATAACCAATTAGAATTCGTTGATTTTAACAATTTTAGTTATACATTAATTGTAAAGTCTAGCTAGGATGTTATAAGTAAATCCACAAACTAAAATAACCAAGCTTATAAGAAGGTGTATATCTATGAATAACACTTAAGATACCAAAGAGAAAGAAAAAAAAAACAGTTTTTTTAGAATGATATATATATTGGGATGGTTTTTAGAGATTTTGGTATGAGAATAAGATGTAAAGATGCATTCCCGTAATAACCGTGGATGTAGGGTAGTTAATTTGGGTTGATGAATAGGATTAGGTTCTATTTTTTTTTAATATTCAACTTATAGCAGTGTAAGTTATGATTTTGATTACAAAACTAATTGTTTGCATGTATTAGTAAGAATAGCATGGATAAAGTTATGGTATGTGGAGAGAATTATATCACTGAAAATAACCAAGCTGATCAGGTGTATATATATGTATGATTGAAAAGGAACAACATGAATCATAAAAATAATTAAGGTGCATATATATATATATATATATATATATATATATATATGGATGGATGGATAATTAAACACATCATGTGGTAGATATTAAGATGAAGACATAAGTACATGAGGCTTCAGGTTCACTACTTCCACCCCAGCGTTGTCGTTGTTATGTTCCTGATCTTCCCTCCCACCGGAATCCATCGGATAGACTTCTGAGTTGGATAGCTTTATGTTTACTGTGTGTTCCGACACTGCATGGATAATGTAGCTCGCCACTTTGCTTCTTTCTTTGTAATATTGATATAATGCCATCTGAATCATTCCCAATACAAACCCTACTATATTTGGAACCTGTGTACAATAATATATATATATATATCTCCAATTAGCTGGCTAAGTCATTCAACGTTTTAATTTTGTTTTTAATAAATTAATTTATGAACCTAAAAAAGAATTGAAGATAAAAAAATATATATACCGTAACACACAAGTCGAGGGTCAGCATTCCATATACGAACCACATGATGGCGCTTAGGGTGAGAAAGCAGGACAATGGGAATGGCATGAATTGGACGCTTTTGGTTTTCACAACTTCACACTGTACATCAAACATAATAATATGTTATCTTATAAATAGCTAGCTAGGCATTAGGCATTAATTAATTAATTAATGGAGATATATATATATATATATATATAACTTCATTAGGTAGATGGATAATTAATTAAGGAAAAAAAAAATAGTTGGTTTAACCAAAATGGTAAGAGGTGCTGCAAAAACACAGATGGAAACTCCAACACAAAGCCAACCCACAACTAGTGCTCGTTTTGCTCCTTCCAACAACATAAATGATCCCACACATATCACAACCCACAACGCCATCGTACCAATCACGATCTTACATGTATGCTTCTGCATGTAATTAACAACATTCATTTATTCCTTACTTTTGCTTTGCTTTACTTTACTTTCTTAAATAAATTAGCAATTAATTAATCAATCAACTATATATATTCACACACCTTGGCATGGGATGTAGCATAGATGATGAAAATAATGACGTATACGGCTTCAACCAAGGAACCAAGAGCGTTAATGGTGATGAGAAGGAAAGTGTTTCCTTCTTTCATCAACGCATAATAGAGCCATAACAAGGCGCTAAACAATGACACCACATATGGCAATGACTCGAACCCTTTTGTCGATTTTGCCTTCCATATTTCCACAAATGTGGGCCTATCGATCAACATATATATATTGTATTATACAATCAATCTTTATTAATTAGTAATACATAAAAAAAAGATATTAATTAAATTATAATGACATATATATATATATATATTGACTTACATTGGAGCAAAGTAAACACCGGTAGACACAATGTTACCTGTACATCATTCGTGTACAACAAGTAAATTAAAGTAATTAATTAATCATCTTTGATGGATATGCATTTGGTTGTTTTATATATAGATATAGATGTTGTTTTGAGAGAGGAGAGTGGTTGATCATTGCATTTGAAAGAAAGCAATTAAATGGCATGTAGATGTTAAATTAAAAAGCAATGAATGAAATGTAGCTAGGTAGCTAAGAATTAATTAAAAGAGTAGAGTAATTAAGGTACCCAGGATGCCAAAAACTAAAATCAGTGGGTGCTGGACATCAAAAATCTCCATATTTATGTTTTGATTTGATATATAAATGAAATTATTAATTTAGTAAAATTGAAGGTGTAAGAGATGGAAGTATTTATATGATTAGATTAGATGGGCGATCCAATTCCATCCTTGTTGCGTGATGATAATGGTAGGTGACCTACCATATATCATACATACCCCTTTTTTCCTTTTTAATTAATTGTTGTTTTATATATAATTGGGGTTTTGAGTTCATAATCATTTCCTCTCTCTCTCTCTCTCTCTCTCTATATCTATATATATATGTGTCTCTCTCTACGTGTAATATTAATATGTGTTGTGTATATATATGTACTAATTCATGTGCCCATTACTAACTTAACTATAAATCATGACATGAGATAATCAATTAAAAATATATATATACATCAAAGTGTTAATATATATATATATATACATATATACATATACAGTCTCATGTTCATATATATGCGAACAATAACTAAATAAAAGAATAACAAAATAGTCGAATCACATGTGATTCAGCTACTTCGCCTGCACTCACCCTTTCGTTGTTTGTTAATGTAAAATTCTATGTAATTTTACACGTGATTTGATTATTTTTATATTATCTTATTTTGTTATTATATTCGTCTGAACTTCCTCCTTCTTTCTCTCTCTCTTTATATATATATATATATATATATATATATATTTTGTGTGTGTGTGTGTGTGTTTTAGTCACATGTGTTTTTCATACATCTGACTTTTCTATTAAAGATTTACAATGGTATAATATTGATGTATATAGTGTTTTTATTTTCTTTTACAAAAATAAAAGTTAATTAAAGGATACAAAATGATTAAATGGGTGGTTTAATTATTACATGATTGAGTTCACGTGATAATAACCTCCTTGAAACGTTTGTCACGGTTTTGCTCTAACTACAACCCATAATTGACATGCACGCACTTTGCATTTTTCTATTCTCTTAATTTTCCTTAATTCAGTCTTATATATTCTTTAACAAATGTAAAAATTAACTTTGATGGCTAATAACAACTCTACATCTACTTTGACGGCTGAAAATATTACCCCATATGATGTAGTAAATGAAAAAGATGATTTTTACCAATAATCTACTAAATTTTTAGTAAACGACTCCTTAATATCGGTAAAAATATAAATAATAAATTTTTATTTGTTTGGTTAGTTGTTTATCTATTAATGCTTTCATAGAATTAAATTCGTTTCGTGTTTAGTTATCTAAAGCAAACAAATTTGACTTTGAGTAGTTTGTTTTTTTAAATCTAGATGGAACGTGCACTTAATTATGCAAGTTTAATTTAGTTTTATTAGTAATGAAATATTATGACATTAATGAGTTATATCATAATATAATAAACTACAGTCGCCCCTATATATAAATTAAGACTTGAAACTTAATGATATGACCATCATGAGGTAGGTAAAATTAAGTCATGATGATCACAAGAATTATTATCCAACTCTCCTTTTAAAAGCGTTCAAGTTTTTACTTGTTAAAAACTTTTAACAAGTGTTGAAACATTATATATAAATTAATAATGGATATAAAAATCTTATATATTTTATCGCTTTATGTTTATATTTTGCATCACATGGGCTATATACTTGTAACATACATACATATACACAGGTGTATAGGATTGGATTCTGATGAAAAGAAAGGTTAAAAAGGATCTCCACCCTTAGATGTATCGGATAAGTCCTCATATCAAACGCGATTTATGGGTGGGTTTGAGATTAATGTGATCAATGGTCCATATTTTTTTTTGCGTTTCTCACCTTAACTCTTAATTATTCTCACACAATCATTCGCCCACATATGTGTGTGTATATATATCATCGTTGTTTGTTTTGTTAATTAATTACAAAGTGACTTTCGTTCAAGCTAGCTAATGTAATTTGTTTTGGTCCATATGTTCTTTTTGCATCTATCAATGAAAAGCGATCGATCAAGGTTCTTGATTGATGAAGATGGTAGACGAAATTGAAATATATTGATGTAGTCCTGATCGTTTTAAAAGAATGACCAAGCTGATAACAAAATCATACTAGGGTAAAGATGAGATTTTAATTAAGATATAATAATGACGAAAACTAATTTTATAACATATATCACCTTAGAAAATATTTGGTCAAACTATTATCCTTTGAACGCGACTTAATTTATGGGTTTAATTTTGAATGACATACATTTGAAACTTGATTGAACTAAAATTTATATTTTAAATCAAGTTATAAAATGGATGGAGCCATGCATCTTTTCCTTGGAATATATACACTTATTTTTATCCACCAATAATATAAAAAAGACAATACCATAAGAATATAACATAAATAATTAAAAGGGAAGCAAAAACATAATATTTGAAAACAAAAGATTTGTAAAAGATATTAAGTTAAAGTAAATATTGTTATATATATATATATATGGTAAATGGTAAATGGTAAATGGTAAATGTAGATGAATATGAAACTTGTCATTTGTTTTTATACAAGATATATATATATATATATATATATATATATATATATTAGTGGTGAAATTAAAATAAAGTTTTAAGAAGGAGTTGGCTTTTGGAAGAGGTGAGGGGGTGGTGGGGTTTCCTTTTATAACAAAAAAGAATTATTCCAACAGGAATCTAATCGCTAATTGATTAGTATTTAGTAATTAGTGGTATTAAAACTAAAACTAAAACTAAAACTAAAATACTCTTATTTCAAAAGAATAGAATAGCGGGCTTTTCCAACACAAAGTTGGGCCGCAATATTATCAAAGCCCGATCTCTTGTCCATCTCTACAGCTCCATCTCCATCAGATAATATATATATATATAATATATATATATGCTCTCTCTCTCTCTCTCTCTCTCTCTCTCTCTCAACCAACCTCTTCTTCCTCCTCCAGCCGCTCATCGTAAACTAGTAATTTTTGTTCTATCTTAACTCAAATCAAAATTTCTCTCAATCGATTGTCTGTGTATGCCAATATCACTTTATCTCCCTATTTCATCTGTTTGTTATCATTCTGTTTTTTGTTACGTCGACTTAGTCGTCTGTTTGTGGATTTCCATGTATAATTGTCATAGATCTGATCGCTCTATTGATTTTTCTCATCAATTGCTTCTTCCTGCCTCCTACCCTCATTCCGTGTTTGCGATCATTGTTAATCATAATTCTTTCTTTTTTCTTTTCTATCCAGTTTTTCAAGGAGAAAAGATGTGGGGGATTTTAAGCCAAAAACTTGGTGCTGCCAGAGGCTTATCCTCTCAGGTAAATCAAATACCCTAGCATCTGTTTCTTTTAACACCCAAAAATATTCTTGCTATATGTTTTTGTGTTTATGCAGGTTGTGGGGAATTATGTGCTGAGGTTAAGGCTTGCACCATCAGCTATGCCTATGAGGCATTACTCATCTGCAACCAAAGAGGTGATTTGATTTTTGTTTCCATGCCTTGTTCTTTTCTTAAGTTTGTGTTGCTTTTCGCTACACAACTACCCTACAGGATACTAGACTGCTAGTTAATTAATGACCCTATCATTTCTATGTCTAGTGGTTGATGCGAACAAGATAATTTGATTGCCAAAGTTTGATATCTATGATAAGAAATTATCCAAAACGTACTTTATAATTATAAGAAATAAAAAACCCAAACAAAATGAGCAGTATATCCCACTGCAGCCTAGGGTACCATGTATGTAGACCTTACCTTGACCATTAGGATCAAGGGCTGTTTCCCCTAGAAATAAAGATTACAATCTTTTTTTCAAAAATCATCTGGCTCATTTATATAAGGACAGATTGAAACTTAAAAGGGTCACTGCATTCCGGAAACAAGGGAGTAGATATCACTTATATACTTTACTTTCATATGAAGATTAAACAAACACAAAGTAAAATTTTAACAGCCTTTTTCTTGATACCATGACTAACATTATCTAATCTAATACCATATATTTTTGAAGTATATAATATTTATACACGGCAAATGAACTTACACACCCTCCTCACATTTGGTGAGCCCTTGACCAGCTGGGAGGCTGGGCTCTACAGCTAACCTGGATACTGCTAGGCCAAAGGCCCTTGTGGTATCTAATACCATGGTCCAGGCTATTGGCTAGCCTCATGGATAGGTATTTGTGTGTAAAAGGCCACCTCATTAATAGGACTATAGACAGGTTAAATTTTCATTGATAAGAGTGTTCAAGCCTTGTTTGAGCTGGACAGTACCGTTCACTGCTTTCAGTGTTTTACTCTGTCAACCTTTGCTTAGTCCTACTACCTCCTTCAGAAACTTGATTTGTTTAGTTCTTTTGTTGCTAAAAGTTACCTTTTAGCCACCTACTCATACATTGCGTGTTATTTGCATGTATAAATTAGCAAACACATACTAAGTATTATATTCAATAGAAGACTTTTACTTGGTACTATGGCTCTTTTTTCATCCCACACTCTATAAATCATAACTACCTTCCAATCTTATATTGATTTTCTGAACTTGAGCAAGGTATTATGAACCTCTCTCTAGGTGGTCATCGTTTAACCCAACTTCATCATACGTTTAAGATGATGCGTCTATGAGTATTGGAAGCCATCTCTTTCGTATAGGAAGCGAAAGGGTTGAATTTTTTTACTTGCTAAGGGAGAAACTTATGCAGTGCATTAGGGTTCATAATATTTGTTTATAGAATTCCACATAATATTTTTTAGATGCTAGGACTTTACAACCTTTTCTTTTCATATTGCATATTTATATTTCCTTAGGTGCTACTTGGTTTTAGACTTTTAGTATCATATAAAGTAGAGTGCCATATATTAGGACTTGTTCACCTTTACTTGTTATAGCTCATTTGGTGACTATGATCCAAGAGAATTTTCAGAGACTCATTAAAGATAAATAACCTACCAAAGTTAGAGAGCTAGGTGGGGAGAAGCTCCTGCATTTGTACGTTTGACGATTATTTTTGTCAAGCACAATGTCAAATGTACAATAAAGCTTATCTTTAACTCTTGCTTGTTGACTTGGTGTTACTACCAGATTATAGGAAATGTGGGTTTTTAGTTTACTTTTCAAGTTGTACAGATGACAGTACGGGATGCTCTGAACTCTGCTCTTGATGAGGAAATGGCTGCTGATCCTAATGTCTTTGTTATGGGTGAAGAGGTATGCGTATTTTTGAAAGGCTGAGAGCTCCTCTTCCATTTCTTTTGTGCTAATTTTTCTTTGGTGTGCAGGTAGGAGAATACCAGGGTGCATACAAGGTTAGAATTTTACAAGTCACATTTGTCTCATGATTCTACAAAAACAAATAACTTATATCTCTAATTTTTTTTTGGTCTCACTATAATGGAACTTTTTGCTATGCTAGATAACCAAGGGCTTATTGGACAAATACGGTCCTGAAAGGGTTGTTGATACCCCTATCACAGAGGTTTGACAGATGCTTATATCGGTTTTAGTAGATGTTTTAACCATTTTAAGCTTCCGATTATAACAACTTGATAAAAGATACACTTGTTCATATTTCCAGGCTGGGTTTGCCGGGATTGGAGTTGGTTCTGCATATCATGGTCTGAGACCCGTAATAGAGTTTATGACTTTCAACTTCTCTATGCAGGTTAAAATCCCCATTTTTATGTTCTGGAGAGCTCTTGTTTCTAGTTTGTCTCTACCTTTTCTTTTCATTACTATATGTGAATATCCTTCCATAAAAATTATTCACATCATGGACAATTGGAGATGAAGGAGAGAAGGGAATATATTAGCTTTCATGGTTAGGAAGTGCCACAGTGAAAAAGAGGTCTAACAGTCTAGACTCTCAACTCAGTTGTTGACAGGATATGTAGAATTTTGGATAACTGCATATTGAAATGATGTTTTATCTGTTGGGTCACTTAGCAGAGATTTAGAGTCTCTTCATATCGTTGCTCAAAAGATGGGTTGGTGTTGATGGAATATGTTGAAAACAGTTCAGAGTATGTCATTTTTTTCTGCCTGATCTCTGAGAAACTGAATCGAACAGCTTTGTCTAGTATTTTTCAATTTAAAAGCAGTTCGACTTGGTTTTCATCTCTTATGATGTTATCTGTGTGACGATGCATCCTCTTTTATCAGTTTTTGATGGTTCTGTTCTTTTTCTTGCTGACTGGTAGTCATTACTAACATCAGATTAAGCAGAAATTGCTCTTGTTGTTGAGAGCACAAATCATTTGGACTCGAAGTCAGATTTATTGTAATCTCTTATGTCTTCTGTCCTTACTTCTTACGCAAGTATTTGCCGAACTTATTAATGCGTACGAAACTTCTGAACATGCTAAATGAGGACACGGTTCTGTGATATGACCTTGTTATCAACTTGATATATTCGGGAACCTACTAACATAATTCAGAAACGTGATACATAATTCAAAATTCAAATATCGTTAAGCATGTGGTTAGATCTCTGTGTTTCAACATTTTGTGTTACAAAAGCAGCCAAATTAATTACAATCTGATTTTTTTCATATTTTCTTGCAGTTGCAGGCAAAATGGACTAAACTTTAAACTGTTGGTGATATTTTGCAGGCAATTGATCATATCATCAATTCTGCTGCAAAGTCGAACTACATGTCTGCTGGGCAGATTAATGTACCCATTGTGTTTAGGGGACCAAATGGGCCTGCTGCTGGTGTTGGTGCTCAACATTCCCAGGTCCAATTCTCTCCCTCTTGATTTTATCGTCATTTCCACATGTGGTTGTCACTTGAATGGCATTAATTTGCCAATGTGGAAGTGAGCATCTTCCATACCAAACAGAAAGTATAGAGTGTCCATGGTCATCCTATTTCGACTATTATGTTTTCTATCATGCCATGCTCTTGATATTGAAAGGAAAACTGAACAGAAATGAGATACATAGGTTCTTACACTACTCTGTGGATTCACTATTACCAGATGATTGCATTATCACTTGATTTAGGGAAATATTAGGCTGTTATTATTTTTCAAAATTTTCACTAGGTTCTTATACTACTTTGTGGGCACCATTGTTGCCCAATTTACCATATTGATGAAGCCGCAAAAGGAATCAATGGTAATTCTATATCATCATTAGGAACTATGCTATGTGATTTGAAGGATAAACTTGCAATGATTTTTAAAGTGGAAAATTGTTGTGGTATCAATATTTCAGTTAACAGCAAATATAGTTGATCAGTGGTGTTAAGGAAGTGTTTGACTAACTTGTTTATCATGGGTTTAGATAAAGGAAGTATTTGGTTATCGACATTGATGTTATGTCAGGAGTGAACTTCTCATCTATTTCTCGAGTATCTCCTTAGTTTCTAGTTGCTGGAAGGATTGGTGCTCTTTCATTTCCATTTTGTTCTTTTTTATTTTTCCAGATACTATTCATTTTCTCACTTTCCACTTTCATAGCAGCCTTTTAGCTTCCACAAAATAGAAACTGTTTCTGGAAGAGCACATTTCAGGAAAACCATAGAAAACAGATAGTTTGCATAGTTCTAGTAGATGTGATGTTTCATATTCTATTTAAGTATGAATATGATCTGCATCAACCAGTGGATAATGATTAATGATGGATTTGGTTGGTGAGTTTTGCTCTCAGGGTTGATTCATTGCTTCACTCACCATCCTGTATCTGTGACCTTTAATTGTAGCCAGTTACCATAAACTGCTTCATGAAAAAAGATCATGCTCATTTATGTTTCCAATGTGATGCAGTGTTATGGTGCATGGTATGGCTCTGTCCCTGGTTTGAAAGTGCTTGTACCTTACTCCTCTGAAGATGCTCGTGGACTTCTAAAAGCTGCAATTAGAGACCCTGATCCTGTCGTTTTCCTTGAAAATGAGTTGTTGTGAGTAGGCCACTTCGTCATTTATTGCTAATCAATTTCATTTCAAACCCCTTGAGACTTTTTGTGGTACTCTTTAGATACGGTGAAACCTTCCCAATTTCAGCAGAAGCCCTTGATTCAAGTTTTTGCCTCCCAATAGGAAAAGCAAAGGTTTTTCTCCAAACAAAGTATATTTTCTAATTTTTTTTTTGTGAATCTATTCGATTTGGCTCACCTTGCTCGTCTTATGTTTACTGGATGCAGATAGAAAGAGAAGGGAAAGATATCACAATCACAGCTTTTTCCAAGATGGTTGGCTATGCTCTTAAGGTTTGTTGGAATAGTTACTCCAATCTCTGAGGCAATGTCTTTGTATGCATTCCAAACGTTAAGTCCCATATGCACGTTTAGAAAAAAAGAAAAACTTGTAAGTGGCAAATGGAGGAATTTCCTTGATTGAGCATGTCTTTGAATAATGCATGAAGAATTAACTTACCAGGTAGGTTTGTTTTCGAACAACAAGCTTTCAACATAGAAGTTAGTAGGATAGCAACTCTCAGGTTCCTAGGTTTTTGGATATATGAAGTCTGACCTATAGCCTTGTTCAATTCTAAGTTGCCTTGCGTTCGAGTCTTGTACAGCAATCTTCTTTTCTCAAATGAGATGAATGCTAGTAGCAGCATTTTTCGACCATCTGTTAAATTGTGAAACATCATTTTCTGCAAATCTGATGTATGATTTTGTGCAATTTTAGGCGGCTGAAATACTTGAAAAGGAGGGGATAAATGCAGAGGTAAGCTATATATATATATATGGGCCCAAAGAGGAAATATATATATATATATATATATATATTATGGTTATTTAAGGTTTTGAAGCAAGCAGTAGTAAAGGCGGGTTTTACAGGTTATAAACCTGCGGTCCATTCGACCGCTAGATAGAGCTACCATCAATGCTTCAGTGAGGAAAACTAACCGGCTGGTGACTGTGGAGGAAGGGTTTCCTCAACATGGTGTTGGTGCTGAAATCTGGTATCAGATCAGATGGATGATATTTCAATTCTAGCAGCTCTTTATTTTTATTTTTATTTTTATTTTGATTGTTTTTGTTTATAATCTATTTATTATGTGTAGTGCAACGGTTGTTGAAGACAGCTTTGGTTATCTTGATGCCCCTGTGGAGAGGATAGCTGGAGCTGATGTTCCCACACCTTATGCTGCTAATCTTGAGAGAATGGCCTTTCCTCAGGTAAAATTTATACTTGTAGTTGTGGATTCAAAATGTTTGTGAGTACTAATTTTTGATGGATGGTGCAGATTGAGGATATTGTACGTGCTGCTAAGAGAGCATGCTACAGGTCTGTACCAATGGCCGCAAGTGCTTGAAAATGAGAATGCTGACTTTTTGTTTTAATTGGAATGGATGGATATTTTTGAGAAAGCGTCACCTGATTTGGAGGGGTGTACATGTCTATTTTTTGTTTTGTTTTTTCTTGTGTATTGTGTGAGGTAGGCAAAGGAAAGGCCACAGAATTCTCTCTTTCTTTTGAAAAAAAGAAAATAAGAAGATGCAAAAGTTTTGCGTTTGTTTAGTGTTGTTTTGTTTTTCTTATAAAAGAACATAAAATGTGTTTCTCATATCATCATCAAAACATGCATTGATAAATCATCAGGTATACCTCCTCCTTCCTTCTTGTATCTCATTGTTTGGCAGAAGAAGTAGAAAAGCTCTATATCTCCATTGTTTGTACTTTGTACCATATTCCATTGCCATGTTAAAAGACCCCATAGCCAACAAACTAAAATTTCATATTCACTGAAACGCCATGCATGGACAACACCTCGAAAGCATCTTTCAGTTGCGAACAGATGTACTTGTGAAACAGAGTTTAGGCACACTTGTTATAATCTATGTGGAGGCTAGGATTAGAATTAAAGTGGATAATCTTGTTTGACAATTTGTATCATTTGTAAGTGGTAATTATTTATTCCAAATAAAAGAAAAAGAATAGTTATGGGGTGGAGTTGAAAAAGAATGTGAGTAGTTTTGTAAATCATGTTTGGAATATTGTGATAGTAATGGTTTAACATGATCTAGTAAATGAAATGAGATGGGTTGGGTTGGGTTGGGTTGGGTTAGCTACAGCAAGAGAGTTGACTTAAGAAGCAATAATAGGAATGGGCAGGTGCTTATAACTTAAATAAAGCAACTTTTTTTTTATTTGAACAAATTATATATTATTAGTAATTGGGGAATTAATGTTGTTGACCAGAGAGAGTAGTTGTTGAATGAATAAGAAAACAAAAAACACACGCTCTCTCTCTCTCTCTCTCTCTCATTTTTAATTATTTACCCTCCAAACCTCACATTTTACTTCTTCTTCTTCTTTTTCATGTCTTTTAATTTATTCAAGTGTGTTAATAAATAAATGAAAAAGAAAAAGAAAAAGAAAAAGAAAAATAGAAAAAGAAAAAAAAGAAAAAGTGAAGGTGGGGTGAGAGAGAAAGGTAGGAGTCAGAAGAGATTCCCACAAACACACCAATCATCCTCTCATACTCTTTCTCTCGTGAACCTCCTTTCTTTCTCTATTTTCCCTTTGCCAATTCCTTATACATACATCCTTCTGTATCTATATATTCCCTCTGCACTGCACCCTCCCCAATGCATTCGTCTTGTCGAATTACCCTCCACTCTTTTTCTTTTTTCTTTTTTTCTTTCTTCTTTCTTCTTTCTTCTTTCTTCTTTCTTCTTCCATTCCATCCGAATATAATAATAATAATAATAATAATAATAATAATAATAGAATTAGAATTCCCTGGTTTCAAATTACAACATTCCTTACTCCATTACTATTATTATATATATATATATACACACACACGTCTTCTCTTAATTTGTTCTAATTATTGTTCATCAATGACTTAAATTTTTTGTCTTGACTTTGTCATATATGATCGATAAATGCCAAAAATGATGATTTTCTACATGCCTTAACTTAATACCAAAACCATTAATTAACCAACTTAATTGCCTAATACTTATCTTGTACGTACCATGCATCATGCATTCTCTAGTTTACATACATGAATGATCAACGTCTATATCAAGGAAATTAAGGAAGGTAGTGTAGTAGTAGTAGTAGTTGTTTTTGTTTATGGGAAGAATTAAGTGGAGGAAAGGAATGAAGGTTAATTAAGATGAAGAAAGGGGTCACGTGGGTTGCATGTGCAAGACTCAAAAGGTGGTGCTGGCCATGGCCTGGGTAATGTTGTTGTCATGTCATGCGAGACAAACTTGGCCAGCTCTTCTGTCCAGATTCCCCTACTCTTGTTTCCTTCTCATTCTCCTCACACTTCCCATTTTCTAATTTCCTTCCTTTCTTTAATCATCATTCTTCCAATCTCTTTTCTCATGTTTATAATATTTACTTGTATTATTTATAAGATCAATCCATCATTATATTATATCCCCTAATCTAATCTAATCAATTCATTCATTAAAATATCACTAACACTCTTTTATTTTTATATTACTTCTAAATGATCAAAACTAATAAATATAAAATTTTGAATGCAAAATCAAGAGTCAAGGGTGAGTGGGAGGGTGAAAAGAGCGTAGCCATCAAGAGTGCAGGGACCACTTTTGCCATTCACTCCATTTTCTCCAACCTTTAATTTCTTATTCTTGCCGCAAACAACTCAACTCTCTCTCTCTCTATAAAAACCAAGTCTTGTTTGGTAATCGTCTCTCTCTCTCTCATAAATTTGGTTTTTATTTTAATTTGAGGGACGAGGGTGGGTGTAATTAATTAGGAAGGAGGACGTATGACAGCCCCAAACATGGCGGCGATCACTGCATCGCTTCAAAGATCTCTAGAGAGCTTCTCTCTAAACACCACCACCACCACCACCACCACCAGCGGCGGCGAAGGATTAGGCTTGTCTCGTTGCCACCACTCTTCCGACGCCACCTTGGAACTCAATTCAAATATAACATTACCCTATCATTGGGAGCAATGCCTCGATTTGAAGGTAAACGTAACATTCCTCTGCAATGTAAATAATACACATTATTAATTGCTTTCTTAATGAATCTCCACTTTCAAACCCTAATTAAAAGCCATAACCTTTTTTTGCTTATTCATTTTAATAAGCAGACAGGGGAGGTGTATTACATTAACTGGAGAACAGGGATGAAATCAAAAGAAGATCCAAGGACTGTTGATGATGGTTTTAGCGGCTACTTTTACAGCGAGGATGATGATGATGATGAAGAAGAAGAAGAAGAGTATGAAAGTGAAGGATCTTCGGTGGAGTCATCTGCGGCAGCTTCATCTTCAAGAAAAGAAGAAGAAGAAGAAGAAGAAGAAGAAGAAAAGCAGGTGGATGAGAATGAAGAGGAAGAGGAAGAGGAAGAGGAAGAGGAAGATGAAGATGAAGATGAAGATGAAGATGAAAACAGGAAAGGAGGGCATGTATTAGTGGTGGCTGGATGTAAAGGATGTTTCATGTACTTCATGGTACCCAAACAGGTGGAGGATTGCCCCAAATGTTGTGGTCAACTTCTCCATTTTGATAATGCTGCTTAATTAGCTCCACTCATGCTTAATGATATCATTCTCTCTTTCTTTCCTTCTTTTTGTCTTTGATTCTTTTTCCTTGGGGAAAGGAAAAAAGGAAAAAGGAAAAAAGAAAAAAGAAAAAAGAAAAAGATGAATGATGTGGGTGTTTTCTTATGGAGGTTTTAATGTGTGGATTTTGAAATGAGATTAATTTATTTTATGGTAATTCTTTTTGTGTACCCCCCCTTGTTGCTTATGTTTATATATTATTTTGCTTGATTGCCATTTAATTTTAGCTTTCCATCTCCAAGATCAAAGTCAACTAATAATATTAAAAGGGTATATAATTATAATGAGGGAGACGTGTTGCTTTTTCTTGATTTTATTAGTATAAGACATTACATTACATTTATATTACATGTTGGTTTTATTTAATACATAACAATAGATTGGAGATGGAGATGGAGATGGAGATGGAGATGGAGATGGAGATGGGGATGGGGATGGGGATGGAGATGGAATAAAAAGAAACAAAGGAGGGAGGGATTGGGGTTTGTTATGTCAAGTACTGGGGACAACACCAAAATCACAGCATCAATCTCTATCCAACAGTGATGGTGGTGGCAGTAGTACCGTACAACACTCTTTCTGCATAGATTCCTTCACCTTTGGCTCTTTCTCACTCCTGCTACTGCTCCTGCTCCTTAAAAGAAAGAAAGGTTCCTTTTTTACCTTCTTCATCCCTTCTCTCTTGGTCAACACTTACACACCCACCCCCCGTTGCATTCATCCTTCATTTTTCAAACCCACATACGTTTCACCAACTTACCCGCTAACTCTGTTGATTACTAATTAAATCCATCCTTTTTTCGTAAGCATATATGAAATTAATGCACTACACGTACATGTACATGTGAAAGAAGGCATACATATACATATACATATACATATACATATATAGTGATAAGTCGTTTTTATTTAAATACTCAAATAAAAACTAGTTTGTGAATTTTAAAGTAATTTTGTAGACGTAAGAAAAGAAAATCAGAAAATGGGCCGGCCCAACCCATCCCATCCCATTCAATCCAATCCAATCCAATCGCGTTGAAAGGGTAGTTTCCCTTTGCCATTCCAAATCCTGCCGACTACAGTTGAGAAAGAAAATCAGATTTCCTCTTGATTAAATACATCTTGTTTGTAATTCAATTCGCAGCTGAATAGCCATGAGTCATCACCATCATCCAGGCAAGTAATCCTTTGAATTCGACGCTGCTAAATTCTTCTTCATCACTTGATTTTACATATTTAATGTTGCTGCTAACTTGTAGGGCATGGACCGCATCATCCACCACCACCACCACCCTATGGCCATCCTCATCCACCACCGCCACCACCACCCTATGGCCATCCTCATCCACCACCACCACCTTACGGCCATCCTCATCCTCCACACCCTCACGGGTATCAAGGTTACTTCGACCCTCCACCGCCGCCGCCGCCTCCGCCTCACCACCACCACCACGAATATTATGGTGATTCTGGTTGTTCTGCCATGCTAAAGAGCTGGTATGTAATGTTCCTCCTGTTAATTTGTTCTTTTTTGAACCCTTGTAAAGGGAAAAAAGAACTTTTCAGGATAGTTTGTTAGTTTAGATGAGTGAAGTTAAATGGATCCGTCTGATCTGATGGGTGTTTAGATTGAGATGATATATATTGACAGCGAAATGCATAATATCTTTTGTCAAGTTCTGAATTCAAATGAATATGTCTGGTGAATTAGATTTAGAGAGATGTCTTTTGTTAGGTTTTAAGTGTTATTAAATATTCATGTCTTTGCTATTTGCTAAGGGTTATTGTATTGATGCAGTTTGGGATGTCTTTGCTGCTGCTGGCTGTTTGAGCGCTGCTGCTTCTAAGAGTGTTGGAAGATTGTGTTTTTATTATATATTACTTAATTAATAAAAACAAAACAATGTGTATCCTACTTATTATACTTATATGTAATGTAATGTAATGTAATGTGTTTCATTTCACTAGTCAATCAAAATGATCATGTATTCATATGTGAAATGATGAAAGAAAAACATGAGATTGAATTTTAAGATACCATTCATCATCATTATGTGACTAATTGGTGGATTTTATTTATTACAAAAAACACATTGAAAATTTACATTCCTTTATCCTGAATTAATACAAATCTAATGGAAAGGAAGAATTCGTTTGTGATTGAAAATGAAAACACCCGACATCTTATTAGTCCTACTACTGTGAAAAACACATTTTTCTCTCCTCTCTACTTGATCATCTTAATCGTCTTTTTTTTTATTGAATGATGTTTTAACTGCTTCCGATGATATTATTCTCTTTGTACAAACAAGTGCAGACCCACCCGATTATTTCAAATAAAATTGAATTCAACTTAAAAAAAAAAAAAAAAAAAGTGCACGAATGTAATTTGAACCATCCTCCTTCCTATAAAACTATAATTGCATTACCTCTATTTGAATTGAACAAAATATTGAGTAAATTATACTTTTGGTCCATGTGGTTGCCATTTTTGACAAACTTAATAACAAGTAGAAGATATCAAATAGGCCTCATCATCTTCGTTCAAATCACCAACTAAATATATCTTTCTAATTAATATATGTAATCATTTTACAACTTGGTGTCTAGTTATTATGCTTAGTGCAAAGGGTACGAACAATTCCACTGGAAATTGATGGCTAAAATATTTGTTAACCACACTACAATTTCAAAATCACCATTTCCTTCATCCTTACTAGTCATTCCAAAAGCAGTTAACAGGCAAATTGTCTCACATTTGCTGATCCATACCAACACCAAGAATCAACTGTGCAAGATGAGTCAAATATGGTTCTGCCTGGGCCCTGCTGCTCAAGATTGGCCGTAAACTCTGAAGCTCAGCAGTAAACTCCCTCTCAAATTTACTGCAAATAACTCAACAAGGATAATTTATGAGAATGAGACAGATGTGACATAAATGAGCTCTAGTTTTTAGATCTTACAGGACACATTCAATGACTGTTGACTCTTCGGTGGGTGAATTTGGCTTCTTGGAAGGCTTCCTTAGCTTCAAAACTTTTAAATTTTCCAAGGAATGCAAACCATCAATAGATTTGTTTGTGTATGGAGATTCAATGGAGTTCATCAGCCACTGAGTTGCCGCAGCATATTGAAGGCATATAAGTTTCAACTTCTCCAACTTCTGCATTCAGGTCAAAACTTATGAGAACCAGCAAAAAGAACTTATGTATGCCTCTAGCTTGTATTGAACAAGTACCAATAGCGTCCATATAGGAGCAACAGCTCGGTAAACTTAGAATTTTAGCCATCTTTCTTGTATGCTCCCATATGCCTGACACGACACTCTCTTATATATATATATATATATATGTATACATACACATTATATATATATATATATATATATATAAGACAGAAACCTAAGATATGAATTGTTCCGTAATTTTTTTCTCTGACTATCGTCTTTTGCTAGAACTCAAGGCTTACCATAAAATGGCGCCATGAACCTAATACAGGTTGCTTCGAATTCTTCACTTAAATCCTCGACTATTTCTACACTCTATTTAGCTATATCAGAGGAGGAAACACCATGTTAATACAATTCGTGACACCGTGGCATGCATACCAGAATTTGAGGAGAATCGAGAACCTTATAGACACTTTAGCCTCCTACACTTGAAATAGCCACAATTTAAATTGATGCTTCCATTCCCCAAAACGAGAAATGGCTTGTGCTGGAAAACACACCAATTCATCTCTCCATTTTCTGTGAAAAGGGGGGCAGGGAGCGGAATATCATTCCTAACCTAAATAATGACAAAGTGACCATGTTTCTTATACAAGAAGAAAGAATATGGGATCGTGTTGATCCTTCTGCAAAAAGAAAGAAAATATTAATGGTTTTCAGTGGGTGTACACAGTGAAACAAAATGAAGATGATACTCTAGAAACACTAAGGCAGCGTTTGGTATGCAGTCAGGACGGAACATGACAGAATTGGATTAAACTGGACAGGACAAGTTGTCAATCTATTATTTGATACCACTAGGAGTCATCAGGATTGGGCTGGACAAGTTGCCCTTATAAGTTGTTTAATATTTTATATGGTGGTTACTGGTGATCATAGGACTGGAGGTGGTGATCACAGCGGAGGTGGCAGTGGTGATAGTGTGAGGTAGAAGTGGTGATGGAGGGTGGTAGCGGTAGCCGATGGTGGTGGAGGTGGTGATGGCGATGGCCGGTGGTGGGCAGTGGTCAACAGTGGTTATGGTGGAGGTGGCATTGTAGATGATGTGAAGATGGTGGTGGACAGTGGCCGACAGTGGTGGATATGAACGTGGTGGTTGTGGATATGAGCACTACAACCAAACTTTTAGTATGTGGCTAACATAACTTTAGTGCGTCAGGTTATTGCTCAAGCTGCTATTCATCATTGGCTTTTACAACATCTTGATATCAAGAATACATTTCTCAATTCTTGATTAGGTTTATATAGAGTAATCTCTAGAACTTTTTCACATGTTCCCAAAATCATGTGGATGCATCATGCACCTATTGAGGTACCTCAAAGAGAGTACTCCGAGGAGAGGTATGCTATACACTGATTCTCGAGATATTAAAATGCAAGTTACTATCGGTTGCCCTTTGTTGGAGGAGTATTACAAGGTAGAATGGAGTTCATTTATTGTTGGGTCTGAACATAAAACAGTGGCTGATACAACCTACTAACTGTTTACACAATGGCTAGGGGAGGAGTTGAGTGATTCTTCAGCAGTTGGATGATACCTTAGCCAGGTTGACTGAAATGTATTGCGTCAACAAGCTCACCATGCAAATTTCCATGGACCAAATTCATGCGCACTACGCAAATTTTAGTTGACTCGCATTATGTTCTCAAGGAAGTGGTTAGTACTACTCATGAAACTCCATCTATGGGTATGTTTGAAGATTAAGTTCTTGAGGTTTTGACAAAACCACTCTGAGATCACCGATTGGCCCTACATGTGATAAGCTAGGCATGTTAACATACATCAAGCATGCTCTAGCTTGAGGACTGTTAAGATAGAGAACCACTGAAGTCATGTTCATTTTGTTATCAGATATTTCTTTTATGTTCAAATCTCTCTCTTTTCATGTTCTTTTCATGATGTATGCAAGGACAATAATGCTTGATGAAAATCATCTTCTTTTTCCAAATTATTCCTCTATTTTTCATAATGTATTTTGGAGATGTGCAAATTTCGGCATGTTGACATTGGTTAAATAAATTCATCATGGATAAGAATCCACGCAAACCTTGAGGAGGACTGGTGAAAGAAGTGAACATTCCTTTAGACACTTCTCCATGAAAAAGTCGTGATATTGGATTACCTATTATCATAAGAAGATGTCGTTAGGAAAAAGACTAGAAGAACATGCAAGGGAAAGATTGCATAAGGAATCAGAAATTCAATTGAATGAAGCAAAGATTTTAGAAAATAAAACCAAGAAAAATAGAAAAAGTGAGTCGCAAAACTGTATACACATTTCATATAATTGATTTCAAGCATCAAGAGCAATCAACACATACCTCATCTATGCTCTTTGCATTCTCAAGTTTATTATGCATAACATGCCAATTTGGTTCAAGAACCTAAAAAAGATAATAAAATGCTATTAAATATAATACCACTTGGACCTTTTGTGGTTGGCAAAAGAGAGAAGAAGATAGATAACCACGGCAATGACGGAGGTGTAGTGCATAAATAGAAAGAGTGACCAACAAGTCGAAAAACAATGGGTTGGCAATGTACTTCTTGAAAGATAATCACTATAAGAAAAGCAGTGAGAATTTCAAGGAAACTAAATGTAAGATCATAGAGAATAACTTTGGTTTACCTCAAACGTTAGATAATGCAGAAGGCTATTTATAAACTTAAGCATATTACGGCACAGAATCGACGATGTAGATATTCCTGTTCCATGCATATCACGTGCACGTGCACCCTACAACAATAAAGCATAATTACAACCGAAACCATTCATAATAGGCGATACTAAGGATATTTAGTCACATACTTGATGTACTTGCCATGCTGCACAAAGTTGCCGATGCACATGTTTGCAGTGAAACAGAAACCGAAAAATCAACTGGTATTTTGTCAAGGCCTTTCTAGATATTACAAGTGATAGCGGCCATTGAACCTGAAACATAAACAAAAAGCTAATCATATAAAAAAATTCAAAATGCTCTGATCTCGAGAGTGATGCTACTAAGAACGTAGTATTTCCTAGCCCTAAAGGGTCTTAAAGGTGATTAGGGGGCTCACTTCTGCAGGCTTTCATCAATACCTCCACCTATCTAATACACAATAATTATGAGATATTGAGATGTGAAATGTTTGCTTCTTTCTATTGATTAAAGAATTTCCTTATATTGTGTTCCTCGTCTGTAGACATTATCTCTATTGCATCTAACCAGCCAAAATCCTTGTGCAATTGGTTACCAAAATGGGCCATCCAACCAGTAAATCCTGATGAAAGTTCTTATGATGCCATCTCAATTGACAAAAATGTCATGGGAACTTGTAAGAAGGCAAACTTTAGAGAGACACTCCAAAAAGGCAAAGGTGTACATGGAGGCACTCCAAAATAGATGAGGGGAGGCATGATCCTTTTGGCTAATAAATCCATGCACACTAAAGATAATAAAAATAACTACTTCAACAAATTAATAATTCATTAACCAATGCGGTATATACTCAGAATCAGAAAATTTCATAAAAGAGTTCTCATGTTCTGTTTTTATGTATTTGTCCACCTTTGTTAGCTTCTTTCAGGCATGGTTGTAGCATAAGGGTGGGACAATTAACTAGGAAACGGTACATTGAGTTCCACTCCACTACCAAGGCATAAAATATGAAGACATGAGGTTTGATTCCCATTTGAGGATTTCAATTTCCCGTCTCCATTTTTAATTTCTATAGGGTGATATGATTTGTAAGCTCACTAAGATGCTGAAAATAATTTATTTTAGTAACACATAATGCCAATTTAGACGGGCATAGAAAAATAGTCCTGACTGAAGGTTCCACCCAAGGAAAAGATGGCTTACAATTTGAGAAATTGAGCGAGCAAGACAAAGAAATATTAGCCTCTCGGTTACAATATCAATATTATCACAAAAATTGCAGTCTATAGAACTGATTGATGGATCACAGATGGAATGAAGATTTTTTTTAAAGTACATAACATTTATATAAGGCAAATTGAACTCACACTCTAAGAAAGTTAGCTTACTAGGTATTAGGCCATAGGCCCTCTGGTATGGCCTTAGGAACGGGGATCGTGGATAAGCTATGGCCTTAGGCTTTAGTGCTATGACACAATCTTGTTAAAAGTACTTTTTAGGGGAAAGGGATCAGTTCTTATGAAGGAAAATGAATTGCTCCCGAAAAAGGAATGTTCAACTAAGACAGGAATGGGGATTGGGAAGAATTACTGAACTGTATATCATTTTTTAAGCAATCACTGAACTGTATATTGATAATTAAGGATTTCGGTGAAAAACTAGATGAGTTGGAAAGAGAGATGAATGGGATGTAAACCATTTTACCACATATTTAATGACATCCTTTAGCAACACAAAAATAGCATGTTTCACCACCCAATCGACCATCTGGGTCCCTTGTACCTAAGTTGCTATCTGGCTCAAGTTACAACTAAACCTCTTTTGCTTCAGTGTGAATTTGAGAATAACAATCTGCCCACATAACGGTTAGGAACTAGTTGGGGTAATTGATATCACTCTGACAAAGTATGACACATAGTGGTGGTTCCAATCAATATCTTAAAGGAAGATCATTCAAAAGAATGCATGTAATTGGTACTCAGGTCAATTTAGACTTGCTTAACACCCTCCTCTTCCCCCACAAAGAAAAAAATGATTCAGTGAAAAAGAAAAACGAGCAATTGGGGAACAAAGAAAAGGTGTGTATGTACCTTGTAATTAACAGAAAACGTTTCCACGCCAGTAATACTCAAGGACTCTTCTAAAGCATCAGTCTCCGGCACTGTCTCACCCATTTGAAGATCTTTGAGAGTGCCCAATCTCTTCAGCAAAGAACATGTGTCCTGGAAGCAGAATGTCGTGTCATTCTTTGGGAATTTTTTTTTCTCCAAGACTATGTATAACTGTTACCTACCACAGAACATGTGACATCCTCATGCAAAGGATCTGCTGCAGCTGCTGTCGACCGCAGTGCAAGGTCCAAGAGAGACTGCAATTTAAAGCCAAAATGTAAACCTAGATTGTTCCATGCTTCATGAAAGTTCTATTTTTTATCAAATGTATATGATACAATATATTTCAGAGAAATTAGGTGTCGCTCATTGGCAAAAGCACCTCTATGTATAAGTCACATGAATCATTAAAGACAAGCATAAATATGATAATATCTAAAAGATAAAGGATAACTCGGGTTAACCCTAGGTTGGACCATATATGTCAATGATGCCCCAACTTGTCCCAGATATGATTAATCTTTGATCCTCCAAGTGTTCTTGTGAAGATGTTGGCAAGCTGGTCCCTTGGGGGACAAAAACAGGCTTAATAGCTGATGGTTCACATGAATTGCCAACCAACTTCTCACGAGATAATCGGGAGTCTGTCTCAATACTCTTTGTACAATCATTTGAACTTTGGCTTTTAGATATGAGAGGGGCACCTCATTATCACAACACAAAACGGAAAGAGTGATTGCAAGCAGCTGCAAGGGTGAGGTGGGTGAAATGACAAGGTTTCTTTTGTGTTTTTCTCTTTTCTAGAAGACTTGAGGCTAATATGCAACAGGGGGTGTACCATGAACCAGGCAAAACCATGACGTAAGACATTTCATGAGAATTAGGCGTTATTCATTTACAAAAGCACCTCTATATACAAGGTTATATGTATCAGCGAAGACAAATATAAACATGATAAGATCTAAGATAAAATAACTCTTATAGCTAACAATACATATGGGATTGCTATGATTAGCCATGAACATGACAACAAGTGGATAGTAACAAACAATGATATTAAAATAAAATAAAGTAAGTGGCTAAAGACCTGAAGCTTCTCAACGGAGATCTCATTTGGTGTTTTAGCAAGTTCATCACGGGCAATATCCATGAAGTGAACCAAGAAATCACCCTGTAAGTCAACCAACATTTCATACATGATAGCCATCATAGCCGAAACAAGACTCCAAAAGAAAATTAACCCCCCAAGTCAATCAAGTAAACACCACTAATAAAAAACGCTAGAACTCAAGTTCCATTCGTTTTTGCTATTTAAGATATTCATTTGCTAGTGTTGTTTATCTGGTACGAGAAGAAAAATGCGTTCACAGGTCCCATTGACTTGATGTGAAGAAAGACAGAAGAGGGGACCGGAATATGGACGATGATGAATGTACATAAACAGTTATGAAACATTAGTTACTTTACTTCATAGTTCACTAAAGAGGTTTCCGGTTGCAGGAAGGTATGGAATGCCTATTTGTGTAGATGTGGTACTACTTTTATTTCAGCAGTATTTATCCAAGCTAATCTGACACTATAATCCAAAAAAATTAAACAAGGCAAAGCATCAATCAAAATATTTCAGTAGGACTTTAGTAGCTCATACCTGATCTAGAAGAAGATAATGCTTGATAGAACGCAGCTTTCCAACGAGACCATACTATCAACATTAAAAATATTGATCGATCACTTAAGTGAGAAAAAAATCAATACATACCAATCACTTTCTGCAAGCGCAATGAAGAAGTACTAAAAAATAAAGGAATAAGATTTGTAACAGTTGAAAATAACCAGCAACCACACCTTGTCCTTCATGAGATTTAGTAACTCGCTGCTGGCAAAATCATAAGCAGATTTGATGCATTCAAGATAGTGATCATTGGACCCAAAGTTCATCAATTTTGAACTCTCCAATGCAGGGACCTATAAAAACATGCTAGTATAAAAACATATAGTAATAATAATAATAATAATAAATATGAGCCCTTCTGTCAGTCGTAACAGTGGGAAGTCATAGAAACACCTGAACACTGTGCCCGCATTCTCTCATGACATTTAAATATTTCCCTGTTGTTAAAATGGTTTCAGCCGAATTTGCAAGGAAAGAAGGAATATCATCCTTGAGACTGTATCGTTGTCGCCAATACATAGCATCATAATCTTGGGTGAGACTCTCCTATAGAAAATTCGCCATCAGAAACTGAAGCATTTAATGCCTTTGTATCAGTGGATAAAATCATACTTTTTGGAGAGATTTGTTCTCAGCAATGAAGAACTCATCATGAGGATCATCGATAACTCCTTCATACACCCACCTGCACATTTTATAATTTACTACTTCAGTCAGAAAACACAAATGAAAACATAGCAAATTGTTGGTTTGAGTTAGATTTCATGCAAAAGATTAAAGAAGAGGAATGACATAATTCAGAAGTCAGTGCAGCTTGAAATGTCCATGAGTCCCTAGGACTGTTATGTACTCTGGTCTACAATCAGGTGGGTGCAGAAGATCAATTATGCCCAGATGTCAAATAATAGGAAAACAACCTCACTGCCTAACCCTTTGATAGCAGCTGTGTACTGGTGCTTTTATCTTAATCATGCTTAAATTAATATCTTGTGCATCATTTATGCATTATTAGGAGTCCCTACAGAAGCCTTCTGAAAGGTCCATCAGAAGACATATCATCTTAACGTTCTAGACTACTCAAAAAGCTGTTCTCCGCATCTTAGTTTCAGTTCACTAGTACAAATTCATGTTACTAGACCATCTGATTGGATCTGGTTCTCTAAGCACATAGAGATTCCAAAAGAACACTAAATTTAGGTCCAGAATGCTGCTACAATTCAAATTAGATTAGGAAAAAAAAAAGATATATGGACAATATATAGCATATTATTGGGCATTCTCAATTGTATACCTTTCTAGTATGCCAAGATAAGCAGAATTTGCAGACTCTATCATCTTTTCCAGCAATGACCTCACCAAGTAGTTACCAGCCATTACCTTCGCCTGTTTAAATTTAAATTAGATAAATAGCATATAATACACAGAACAGGTGAAAACAAGCTGGTGGGTAGACACCTAAGAGTTCCGAATTTATGTATTTACCTGATTCTGTAAAAGGTTAAGAACTGCTGAACCCACAAAATTGCATGATGAAGCCTTCCTTATCACTATTGACAATGCTAGCATTGATCCCATCATTGGCTGCAAACATAATAAACATGATAGATATGAATCATGAAAAAATATATAACTTGCACAAATTCTTCTTGGAGGTTGCAAATAACCCCATCATTCTCGGTTGCATAAACACTATGAACCGCAAAGACCGCATACTTAATACTTTTGACTTGACTTCATTAGATTATGGGATCCAAGTTCTATTTTCAAGATAACATTAACAAAACAAAACCACTGACGATGCATCAATTATTGGAGGGAATAATGCAGCACCGGTTAAGATGGAAGACAATGTGTCATAAGCATTTGGTAATATACCATATAAGTTTACAAGTTAGGCTATATTCTTGATTGGACATGTTTAGTTATAAAAAAAATATAGCACCATGGAACATGACGTGGGGACCTGGCATCTTGACATAGCAGTTGCACAGTAGAGGGAAGATGCAAACACCATTGTGGGGATTTCAGCATTGAAAATAAGATCAGTTGCATATGATAGCACGGAGTTACTTTTTCATCCCCATGCTTGGCCAATACAAAAGAGATGCAGAAGTAAAAGAGAGATGGGAGCATGAGGAATGTCAAACAAAGATGAGAGAGTGTGAGAGATAGAGAGAACCAGATACTGTTGTCTCATTAAAAAATCTCCCTTCCCCATAATCAAATTGACGATGGGTGTGCATCTATAGGATTACATAAAAAACGCTTCACATATTTAGAAGTATTATTGATATAAATTTGCATGAACTTTTCAAAACTTGACAATGGGGTGAAAATCTAGGACTAGGAAGAAGAGCCAAGAAGAGACCTCTTTCTTGTCCTGTTGTTCGAGAACAATGGGATATATCAGTGATTAACTTGAGGAATCAACACCGTGAATTCATTATGTCACTACAGATATATCCATCTTATAGCAATGTTGTTTTTTTGGCATCTTGTAATGCCTTATTACTAGAAGTAATACCCAATTCATCGCTTCATAGTATCAGGATCCAAAAAACCAGTCTGGTATTGTCCTTGTTGTGGCAACAGAAATTAAATAAAAAAATTGGAGTCTTTTGATGTGTTGACCACATGTTATGAAACAAAACAACTGTGGGTCACTCATGGTCATTTGGATAAACAAGTGGTTACATGATAAAAAAATGTGCAACTTTGGAGTTCATTGGGTTCATTAAGAGTCATTCAATTCTACCTAAATGAGAACCAAATTGCAAATACACAAACAAAAATTCAAGTTTTTTAAATAGTTAATATAGAAATACCTGACAATAGAACCATAATCCTTGTATTGAGAGTCTTCCTAGTCGAAATTGATGTTCAAGCTGTGCCACCATAGCTTGGTAATCCTGAGCAAGTATACAGGGATTAGGAACTCCAATGAAGAAAGAGGAAGAATTAGGTAGGAAGTGTCTACTAAAGAAAAAAACGGAAAAATGAAAAGTACAAATACAAATACAACTGCTAGGAGAACCAACCTATGCCAAACTAATTGGGATTGTATGCACAACAGCATTTAAAATTATATATATGCATACACACTTGTAGTAGGAAAACGATAGAAATGGAATTTCACACTGAAGATTTATATTAGATTTATCTTCTAAGAAATCTTCAGTTATATTACAGGGAAAACTCTGATTATATCAGATAAGTTGATAGAACCCTAATTTTAACCTAATCCATCCCTTAAGGCTCCTCAGATTAGAGGATAGATGGCAATGATTTTAAATTTGACGTGGGAAACAAAGATAGAATTTCGAATATAGAATACTGATACAAATAAAAACAAATTGAAGTCTGAAAAACAGACAAAAGAATAGGAAAATCGCAGGTCCGCTGTGCCTTATTACGGTCTTGATGCAACTCTTGTTGCCGGTCTAGATAGCTCCTCCTGTCTCTCTTATTCTACTCTTAATCCTTAAAAGCTCTTGTGGAACTCAGAATTTATATGCGAAATTCAGGATAAATAGGTCGCTTAATATGAACCTACTACACAAGAATGCACTACAAAAAATATTTTTGAAATGCAACTGCAGCGGCAATACCACAATAAAGCAAGTTCTAAACTGGATGGGTGTCACACATCAGGTATGGATGTGTTGGGATGTGAACAGCACTACCAGCAAGTCCATTGCAGAAAACAGTCTGACAGACTCCCTTCTCTTTTTCCAACTTCTATGGCAAGGTTCCAGGTACAGGTCAAATAAGAAAAGCCAACCTTATAACTGCTCATACAAATATGGCTAATATATGATGCTGATGGCAGCAAACACACTGTGCACAAATACCTACTAGCAACTAAGACATGATATGGAGGCCAATTAAAGTAGAACTAGTAAAGAATGAAGAGGACCACTGGATGAAGAGCGAATCCCGAATAGGATCAGTCTAAATTGAATTGAACTAGACAGTGGAATTGGACAGATGTATCGGACAATGGAAAACTGAACTGTAAGTAGATTTAGACAGCTGCACTGGATAGATTAGGCCTGCTAAAGTACCTTCTGCTAAAGTACTTTCTGCTTGGCAATCCAGGAGGAGATCGAGGTGGAACTTCGAGGATACAGACAAAAAAGAGCATGGAAGAGAGAGCACATAACCAGATAAGAAGGATACACCATGTGTCTGCCAACAGCTACATGCTGCCAGCAGCATATACGAAACTCGTGCATAGTTGTACACAGTTCAAACCTAAAGCTCTAATACCATTAAAGCGTTGAGGTTCAAAACATATGATTATTACCAAGGAAGAATCCTAAATATATGATACACACAGGTCCATGGGAATGAACCTGTAAACTAATAAACCCTACTTCTAATGTAATTATGTCTCCTAACAATATCATATTCCATTATTAATTTACAGTATTTGAAACGATTGTAATCATTACACTATGTTAATGGTGATTGTCGTTGGCGGTGGTGATGATATTAACAGAGTTCATGAAAGGCATGAGGCGCAAGGAGGCACAAAGGCCTCCTCAGGCCAGATCACGAGGCAAGGCATGTGCCTCATTGATACACGTATTAAAAAAATATTAATTTATATGTTATAATATATATGCACGCACACACACAATACATCTACAAATAATTGCAAATCCACTAACAGCATTAAAATATATGGAACAAAGAAGATACAAATTTCAAAGCTAAAGGTAAAGAAATTATAAAACTTCAAGTACAACCCAATAAATGCAACAATTTCAAGAAATTAGCGAGAATAGTTCCAATTGGAGAATCAGAAAATCCATTGACTGTTTAATAGTGGACAAAATAGAACTTTATGTGCCAAAACCAAACCAAATAAAACAAACCCAGTATATCCCATCCGGAGGGTGAGATGTAGGCAGACCTGGCATCTACCTTAAGGAGTAGAGCGGTTGTTTCCGTTAAGACCCCCGGCTTGTGCGATGTATGCAAAAAGAAAAGCACAAAACTTGCTCTAGAAAAATGTGAAAAACGAGTTTGGAGTAAGCAACAACACACAAACAGACCGGCAGACAACAACAGTGAACTTTTTGTGCCACTTTATCCAAATTTATATTATAACTGAACAACAATAATAACAATGTCTGTCCAATTCAAAAAAATCGATCAGAGTATAGTGTGTTTCTGTCCAATATAGAGATAGGATCAATTAAAAAAATGATGTGTTCTGCAAAAAATATGCATGCTGCCACCCTCTGGAGCGCCCGCACCGTACCCCACGGCCATCACCAGGGGAGGTAAATCGCATGTCTTAGGGGTAGGTAGGTGGTGCCTAGACGAACTCAGATCTCCCACATATTCTGCATGTAGGTCCACCTCCTTCCCTGCTGGGCTAATTTTGCAGGGATTATTGTTGTCGGTGTTCAAAATACGAAACCGCCACTCAATTAAAAAAAGGACCGATGCAAAAACACTAAAAATTAATACATATCAGGCAACTACAAAAAGAAAGAAAAATAAAAAGGAATTTTCAGCAGCAAAAGTAGAGCAGAAAACAAAAAAGAAGAAGAAAGAAATGGAAGTAGAAAAATTGAAGATGAATCCAAGAAGAGAAGAAAAGCTTCACTGAAGAATCTATTCAAAGTCACCACTTCAATTTGCGCAAAAAATCGCCTTACAAGTTTTCATTCTTTCTGATATCTTTCCCCTAAAATTATCAGTTCCCTCCACATATATAGTATGATGCACTTTCAGTGAAAAAGTCATTACATGGCTTTGCTTCTTTGAAGCTGTCAGCCAGTGCCTGAGCAAAGGCAAAGCTATCTTTCAACCTCAATGTGTTTCAGCACATCTAGCATAGGTGTGACTTAGATAACGCTCAATGTTAACGATGACAATCGGCATAGTTGTTGGGTTGGGGACTTGCCCAATTATTAACAAAAACCTAAGGGTGGTGATGGGAGAAAGCTCTTCTGATAATGATGTTTGTTTGGTTTGGAATTTGAGATGAGGATTATTCTAAGAGGGTGACAGGAAGGAACGGTGAGGATAGAGAGCATGCCAAAAAGAGCTTTCAGGTGAGCACACCCTTTCCCTTCCTTTAGCCCCCTCTTCTGCACTCTTATAAGTATGAATTGCAGTTGCAAGCATAATTGGGCCACTTTCTATGTGTTTGCTTTTTGATGCATAAAGTAGGTAGAAAATGAATAGAATTAATTGGAAATTTGTTTCTCATGCATACTCAATTTATGTAAAATGTGATCATTGGTTCGTTAAGGATTGGAAGGAACATCACACAACAGAAAAACTTAACTAGCACATTTAGCAGCATTTGCAGTAAAACTATCTGATAGGCTTGAACATAAATACTTACCAAGAGGAGGGCCCTTAGTGCAGCAGCAAAGGCATGATTAACCAATCCAGACTTGAACTGAGATCTAGACTCAACAAACTGGTTGATTAGCAAATAACTCCTGCATAAAGGGAATATTCGTTTCGATGATTCCTGCATTGCTTGCCATAATTAGTTTTGGAACGTGAAAGAGCTCCATTAAGATACAGATATGCACACTCAAAAAAGGGTAGACGCCACCCTCTGAGGCACCCCCACCGCACCGGTCACACGGTCATCATGGGGGACGTAAATCAGCTCATGCATCCCATTGGCAGAGGCGGTGCACTGCCCAGGCTTGAACCCAGGACCTCACTCATATGAATTATACCCACACCTCTACCGCTGGGACTGATAAGTGGTGACAATATGCACACACAACTACACAAGCACACATATAAGTTGGTGATGCATCAAGGAAACATATTAGGCCAACCATGGTTTCTAATCGTTCTGGATATCATAAGATCTACAGACTAATTTATGAAGTTCCGCAAATACTGACTGAGTTCCGATCATATTACCAACACAACTAAGATTCAATGGTATTTGGACATACACTAATACATGTGTATACATGTATGATATGTAAGTGTGTATGAATGTATGTTTGTCTGTTTGGTACTAGCAGCCATTGACCCACCTTGTACTCTACTTATTCCCACTTTGATTGATGGTATGGCACGCTCCGAGTCCCATTTAATACAAAAAAGATACAGTAAAAAAAACCTCCGGCAATGTTGCAGATGATCATTGTCACATGCATGAACACATTTTTGGCTTAAGCTATAATTTACCCCTGCAGAGGCTCCTCTGCTTTGAGAACTTCAACAAACAGAAAATTATTAACAGCCCTTTTACAAAGCCCTATTTCAACTATGATTGGATTACATGTCTGCAGGAGCTATATATATTCAAAATCATGTTGGCTAAAGAGGTAAGCGCTTTAACTTCTGATTTCAAAGTAGAAGACTCCTTTCAACTGCTAATCTGCTATTGATTTTACCAAAGATGGCAACATAACATAACATAGACAAGATGAGTCAGTCTTAATGAAAAGCACGACAACGATGCACAAAGCATCAAACTTTCAAATGACCACATATGGGAAGATTCTTGCCTGGAGTGCCAAATCCATAGAACCATCAACATGGAAGCTAAAAGAGTCCTCATTCCCTCGAACTCTGTTGATCGAAATATACCGTCCCTCAATACCAATTAAAGCAGAAAGAAGATCATCAATTACAATCAGTTCCTGCACATAGAAATATTAGGTAAATAAATGTATAGTCACCATTTTTATCAGACTAGTAATGCAGCTTCCCCCTCCCCCCCCCCCCCCCCCCACAAGATGAACACTAGTGATCCATCCAGTCTCAGGTGTGAGGCATGCCAATGATGCAAACCAATCAGATTCAATGTCGTCTAGTTAATGCCAACATCATAAAAATTGGTTATCATATTTGGAGAATGCTTTCTTGTTGATTCAACAAAGGGCAACAAGGTGTATGCAGGTTGACTGTGTGATGGTTCTGTGCTTGATAACTGAAAGTGACACTAGGCAAATTATGTGATGGATTTTTGTTATACCAGGGATTGTGGTCAAATAAGTCAAAAAGGGTAGGCTGGGTTAAGGAGTCCAACAAGTCATAAAGGGTGCTGCAGGGGAAGTGCACAAGTGGCTATTGGACAAAGTGGTGAAATGGAGTAGTGTATTGATCTTCTAGTTGAAGTGTCAATTCAACCATTTTTTTTTCATTTATAGTCTAATGATGTTACTAGAAAAGTTCATAATTAGATGATTTCATTCTATTTATGGTCCCTGCGGTTAACGAAGAGTGTTTATTGCTTTCTATAAATTCTCTTTAGGAACCATTATTTATAGATAGTGTATGTGTTATTATATTACTTATGTTCAATTCCTGTGTAGATAAAAAACCGGACCATGACGTCATCACTTCGGAACAACCAAACAGCAGTCCTCTTTTGGACCAGATTTTTTTGAGTTTGACCATACAAAGAATAGTCTTTTCCGGAACAAATAAAGCCAAACCAGACCAGAATTGAATCAGGTCAGTCCTCAACCGGTCCCAATGATAAAGACCACTCTGATATTTTCTTTTCTTTAAATCCATTAATTTCTTAGTTCCCCTTTTTTCTTTTTCTTAAACGGCTAGACCAGAATTCTAGAGCAAGGGGACCAAACCAGAATTTTGTTTGGACGAGTCTTAACCAACCAGGCCAGACCGCCTAGATCAACTATGACGGTGATTACACTAGGACCAAGCAGAACTTCAAAGGATAAAAAACAAGTCCATGACCCTAGATCACAAATATCATATGCCAATTTTTTTATTTGATCTTGTAGCTTTCAAGTAAGTAGGTGGTTAAAATTGACTTGTCAGAAAGTTAGTCTCTAGCCTCTAACCGACGGAAACTCGCTCTAGCAAGTTCGAGGAACAAAAATAAAAATTAGAGAATGTTTTGCTTTCATTTCACATTTGTCCTTCATTGTCTTATCAATGATTATTTGAGCTTAGCATCTTTGTCCATCTTATAAGTCTAGATAGCTCCTCATACTTGTACACTTCAAACTATAATCCTTTTCATCTAAATATAGTTACTATCTAAGTCACAAGATAAGTGTCCGCATTTCTATTTTAGCTTGTCCCAAAATAAGTGTCTACTTCTCATTCTACCCTTAATTATGAGATGGAGAAAAAACTTAGTTTTATTATTAAGGGTGAAATTGTCCTTTAATCAATTTAAAAAGTGTAATAATTACACATCCCTACAACTGTGCCTTTTTCATTGTCCACAACCAACATGAAAAAAATTAGAGCCTCATACATTTCATATATCTAAACCTTAACAAGAGTGCTTCTACAAAGCATACAAGCGACCTAGTTTTAGATAATCCACCAATTATCATCATCATATCAATCACCAAACTCTCCTAAATTCTCATCACATTGTCCGCTGTACATTTTGGCTCAAGTGTTGTAAATGATAAGCTTTCAAACATGAGCTCAAGTGTGAACCTGTGCCCAGGTGGTAAATTGCATAGACCTATTTCAAAATGTATCTTCTCCAATCAATTCATAGTTACAATCCTCCAAATGAGCTAGAATAGATGCAGCCTATCTGCATTGTGTCTAAGCACATATTGACTACATATGAGAAAGATTCCAAAGTCCACAAAGCTTGATTGATTAAAGAAGAAACCAAGGGGGAAACTGAGATGCCCATAGAAAACATTTTACCAAATCTTTGAGCAAGGAACGAAAGGCAGATATAATACAAACTCGGATCACAAATCTACAACCAAGAACAACATTAAATTTTGCGAGTGTAAAACATCTAGATAACTCAAGTGTGGCAAAATAACGGGGAAGATCCAAATTAACAATCTTAACAGAAAAAAGTAAAATATTGTACAGCCAAACATAAAAACAACTATTTTACTTGCACTGAAGCACTGTAGCATCCTATAGGCTTCTCAGATTCCAAGCTGTAGAAACAAAATGTAATAAGATAATCAATTCTGTTTAATAGCAGCACTGAGAAACATTAGAAGAAAACCAAACAACATGAATAAGATCAATATCAGTCAACCAAAAAGGTCAAATACCCTAAATCAACTGAATTTCCCTTATATTCAGCAAGCCCGGGTGTTGATTCCACTTCCTGCATCAAGTTGCAAAATAAGCATATCATCCTACGTTAGTTCCAATAAATTCAAAATTATCAACCAGATCATATAAACTCACAAAAAACCACAGACGATTGAGTCTTCAATCATCTATAATAAGAGGAGAAAAGAGAAACCTGATGGAATTGGCCAGTGAGGAAAGGTCTACTGATGTTCCATTGAGGGGTAGATGGGCATACAGAAGATACTGCATCCATGGAAAAATGGCAAAGCAAGTACAGGATAAAGGTGCTTATAAAAATTGCAGGTCTTGAATCTGTTTAGAAAACGTAGGGCACCAAATTCTCAATTCAAAATGCTCTCTGCTGTAACAATCTTCCACGGCCCTTTTCTGTAACAAAATTCTATCAGTAAACAATTATTGGAGTCCAATTGAACCAAACTAAAGACGCAGGCCTACATATGAAAATTTAACCCCATGGAAACCTATAACCGTCTAACCGAGAATGGGAGCTAAAATGAATTTGAGACAAGATATACTACACGTCTTCAATCCAATCTATTTGAGATCTAAAACTGTGAAAAAAAGGGTGTTATATTATATGTATTAATAATATATTATCTATTTACTTAGGATTATTAACTATGTATTATTAACTGGTTAATATATTTTTATATTATCTATTTACTCAGGATTGTTTGATTTTTTATTCCATAAGTTCTAAGTATATATTAAATTGTATGTAAGCATTAAGCTGTCTTGATAAATGTTGTTTGAATTTTAATCAGAGTAATAGTTTGAACAACAACAAAAAATCCCTTTAACCTTATATATACATAAAGAGGTGGATGTAAATAAATTGTTTGGTAAATATTTAAAATAAAATAAAAATTAAAGTAATATGAATTATTTAACTTAACATAAATAATACGAATTCAATAAGTTCATAACATAATCCTTAATAACATAAAATTTATTTAAACAATAAAGTATGATTGTTAGATTACAAATTTAATTTTATGCATGTTAGTAAATTATTTATTTTTTAGTGAGACTGTGAATAAAAATTGTAGGACAGGGATAATTTTGGAAAACATTCTAACTTAATACATTAAGATAGATATGATGGACTAACTTAACATGTTAAGTCAATCTCTTAAATCATCAAATATATATATATATATATATATATATATACACTAGAAGGGTATTCGAGCAATACAGCGAGATACATCTAGATTTTAATATTCTATCTTATTTTTATCTCTGTAGATGTTATAATACAATTTTATGGGTTTTTAAAAAAACAATAATAATTTTATTTTTGAATTAAATATAAATTTGAAAATAGCATAAAAATTTGAAAAAAAAAATATAACGATATTAATATCAAATCAACTATTTAAAAGTTCTCATTTTTATGTAATTTCTTTACTTTTTTATTATAATTTAATTTAAATTTAATAATAAAATAATTTATTTTTGGTTTAATAATATAATATTTTATAAAGATAATAGTTAAGTATTCTGTTAAAACTCAATGATTATATTGTATTTTAGGTTTTTATATTTAAAATAAGATGTTTATCGTATATTTAATTATGTTTATCTGCAGTTAGTTACACGAATTCAGATATAGAGCTTTAATGTGTTGTAATTACGCACAATCTATTTATAATCTTGAGTTTTAAGTAACATGAATTAATAAGCAGTACTTTGTCTATAAAAAGTGGTTTTTGTCAAATGTTTTATAATATAGTATATATATATATATATAATATAGACTTGGGATCACGTGAGACCAGACTGTTTTCGTGAGACCAGCTTTTTACACTTGAAACTTCATAGCAAAATGTTGTGAAGGTGACCTTCACAGTGTTTTTGCTGTGAAGGTTCGACTTTTTTAAACCTTCACAGTGTTTTTGCTGCGAAGTTTCGACTTTTTTAAACCTTCACAGTGTTTTTGCTGTGAAATTTCAAGTGTAAAAATGTGGTCTCACGGGTCTCACGAAAACAGTATGATCTCACATGAACCCAACCATATATATATACCTCTAAATATTAGAAGTCTATCTTTTTTTTTCTTAGATTTTTTATTTTTTAAAATATTTGATATGTAAAACATTTTTCAATCCCTATGTATAAAACATAAAATTCATCAGTATAAGGTTGTTTTAATAATTTTAAAAAGTTTAACCTCCAACTTTTTCATATTTATTTTGGAGGTGAAACATCCATGTCCTTCAATGTGCTCCTCCATGATTTATCTATCAATGCATCTCTTTTTCTTTTATCTATATCATTTGATTTATTTTTCATTTTATAAACCATTATTATTCAACAAAATCTTTTTTCAGGTAAATTTTTTCGCTCTCCATCATCACATGATTTCTTTTTTCATTTTATAAATTGTTATTATTCAACAAGATCGTTTTTCAGGTTTACTATCATAATATTAATTTAGGTACTATTCTTGAGCTCTATCACTTGATGTATTATTCATTTTACAAACCCTTATTCTCCAACAAGAAATATTTTTTCAGGTAAACTTTTATTTTTTCTTTTAATCCTTTGATTTGTTCTTTCAATTTATAAACTCTTATTATTAAACAAGATTGTTTTTCAGATTTATTATAAAAATACTAATTTAGGTATTATTCGTGACTTTTGTTGGGATTTTAGAGTTTTTTCTTTGTCTTTTATATTTCTCTTAAGTTTTTTCCAATGGAATTGAAGGTTTGTTTTTTGCAACGGTTATAGAGTTTTGATGGCAAAAACGGTTTGATACTTGAATTTTGAATGCATGTATTAAAATTCATGATATAACCTCAACAAACTTCAATATGTTATTTTTTTTCTTCAGATTTACTACAAGAAGACTAATTCTACATTCTCTTAAGACTTTTGTTGGATTTTTGAGTTCTTTTTATTTTCTTCTTTTATATATATATTTTTTAATTTTTTAATTTTACTAATCATTTTATTTACATGACACTTGAATATAATAATATGTATGTTTTTATTTATATA